AAAGTAAAGATCTATAACATGTTGGAATACGATAACTATTATATAATATTAAAAAGGGGTTTCTGTAAAATCTATGTGTCGCTAATTAAATTAATGTAACAAAACATAAAAATGAAGTATCAATAAGATTAAAAATATAAAATGATATGATAATAGTATGAATTGATTGGTAAATTAAATGATGGTGAAATCTAGATTAAAATAATGCGATAATAATGTAAAATAATTGGATAAAAATATAAATTAATACTATTGGATAAAAATATAAAAAATATAGAAAAGTAAAAATAAAAGAAAAAGTCTAGATGAATATTATTGCGCTAAAAATATAACGTAATATAGTTGATGAAAGGTAGAATGGTAACAATACTAATAATAATAATATGAATTAAATATAATTAGTATGAATTATAATTAATGTAGAATAAGATAATATAAAAATAGAATGAAATAGAATAAGATAATATAAAAATAGAATGAAATAGAATGAAATAATATAAAAATAGTATGAAATAGAATGAAATAGTATAAAATAAAAATAGAATAATATGAAATATAATGAAAATAAAATGAAATATTATAAAAATAGTATGAGTAAAATACAGATAATATAAAATAAATATGAATATGATTTACAAATCAATTATCCAATTAAAATAAACTATGAAAAGTCATGTGATATGTTAAAATTCATATCACAATATATTTTTTATAAATTAAATTAAAAAATATTGAAAACTTTTATATAAGACAAAAACTTCAATTTTTATTATGTTTTATTAATAAAATCACATATATAATTCTATAATTTTGTTAAATATGATATATATTATATAATATATATAATATATAATATATATAATATATAATATATATAATATATAATATATAATATATAATATAAAAATAATTATAATACTTGATTTACTTAAAAAAATATTAATTATTTAAGATATATTTAGCTAGTTACATTTTTATAAAATGAATTTAAATATGGCATGATTTCAAATAAAATGAATTTTTATATGAAAAATCTTTTGCATTATAAAATTTCACTAAAAAATATTTATTTATATAATTCTTTTTTTTTGTATTATTATAAAAAAATTATTCTTTGATTAATTATTTAAAATGACAATTGAAATGATAATTGTTACATTTGATGTTAATTATCACCATTTTTTTGTGTTATTACTTACATAATATTGATAATAATAAATAAGTTGGATTTATCTATGAAAGGAAAATAATAATGATAATAATAAAAATACCTCTATATATGCAAAATGCGTGATGTGTGGATTATTTACCAAGAAATTTTATCTTTTGTGAATTATTTTCGATAAAATAAAATGCAATTTTTATTTGTTTTTATGTCAATAACGATGATAGGGATGGGAATAAAATTTGTATCGATGAAGTGAAAAAAATAAGATGTAAAAAATTTTGAAAAAAATTCCAAAGTGAGAATTCCTAGGCAACGATCCTAAATATATATATATGTATACGTATTAGTATCGTCTAACCTTTTTTTCTAGACGACTTGAATAATGCTAATTTTACGAAGATTTTAGATATGGATATGTATAATAAAAATAATAATAAAAAGTTTCGTGATCTCGCCATATTATATCTTACAACACTTTTCACGTTTTTTGATGATAGAAATTATTATAATTAATATTGTCACACACATCATTTTTAGCCCGTGAAGCTCGACAATATGCAATTGTTTATTTTGACGTGTTTTTTTTCTGAATATTAAACTCTGTTTTGTTACATTTCAAAGCTTCCGTTGCTCACAAGATCAAGCATCTGTCCAACTTGCACTCTAGCACGATTTAATGCTTCTCTTGCATCACTAAATGACGTTGGATTCCTAAATGGCATTGGGTTCGATCGTTCAAACATGAAACTTGGTGTTGATGATGTAGATGATATTGAAGATGCCGATGAACTTGTTTTGTGTCCTTTATTTGTTGTCGGTGATGTTGTCGATGTTTTATTCTTTAATGAAGTTTTACCATTTATTAATGAAGATCGTTTTGATGCTAATGATGTTAATCCAGAAGTAGGAAGACCAGCAGTTCGCATGGTTTTAGAATTCGATGATTTTCCCGTTTTCGATGTCGAGTTTTTCGATGCTGTTTTGGCAGTTCCACTTTTTGCTGTTGTTGTTATTGCAGGTTTTGCCCCAATTTTTGGCGTAACTTCTTCACGTGCAGTTCGAAATACAGACATTTGAACATTTAAACTTTTAAGTAGATCAGTATCGGCTGCTCGTAATATATCTGTAAGCACAACGGATTCTTCTTCGATAGAAGTACCGTGGCTACTTACACTACCTGCACGTGATTCTGGTCGTGATGTGTATCCTTGGATTGGCGTGGATATTCCTCGTTGATGATATTTTCGATATCCATCATCGGTAGGACTTGGAGATCGAGCTGGCGAATACGAAGTATCAACAGTGGAATGAGGCATCGAAGCTAAAGGTGATCTTCCAGGTGTTGCATACAATTGTCGTCCTCTTTGTGATGATGATGAGATACGATTATTATCTAGCGGAGATGGTAATTGTACAGGGGTAGAAGATCGTTTAGAACTATAACGACCATTCATTTCAAGTGGCACATCATCGTCAATATAGAAACCATTTCTTGACGGATTATTATTGTTATAACTCTGGTAATGATCTTTATATCCCGTCGAAGGTGTCATATATAAGTCTTCTTTAGAATTTTCAGTCATATGAGTTTTTCTCAAGCGTGAATCATTCGGATAATATTCTTGTGGAGTGGATGGCAAACTTGGCGTCGATACAGAACTACTCGAACTATAATTAGATCTCGTCTGCAAATTATCAATATACGATGGCGGGGGATGCATCGATGATGAATGTGGATGTGAAAGTAATTCTTCACGTAATCCTGGTGTAACACTTTTGTTATGCAATGAAGAAGCCTGTGATGAATATGAAGTGTTTCTTGAATGATTACTATATTGATCGTGTTCTCCAAATTGACTTCCGCGATCACTGTATCGATCAAATTCGGAACCGGATTGACTGCCTCGTTCACTATATTTATCCTCGTCTATTAACTGGCTAACACGATTTCTATATCGAGGATCGTAATCATGTTGCCGCTGCTGTTGTTGTGTTTCACGACGGGAATCATCGTAATAATGAGATCGATCATCATATGATTTATTGCCTCGATAGTCATCATTACGTTCACGTTCGGGATATTGATTGTAGTCACGAGGAAGTTGACGACTATTATTATTATTACTATTATTATAGTCTCGATCGCGTCGATCATAGGATATTTGATCATTTGGTTTAGTGTCATAGTAATTATCATTTTGACGATATTCAGAGTCCGTTTTATAATAATTATCGTACTTCGTATCTCTGTTGAAACTATTGTAATACTTATCTCTTGACAATCTCTTGTCATTATTATTGTTACTACTGTTATTATACTTTGAATCAAATTTATCATTAAACTCATAATCGTCATAATCTCGAAATTCCGCAGAAGTAGATGGTCGTTGAGGAATCAATCGACTATTATTATAAGAAACGCCTCTAATTGACTTTGAATCTGTTATCGTAGACTGAAGTTTAGTTGATGATGATGTATTTTTCTCTCCTATATTCAATTTTCCCAACCACTTGAGTGGTTCCGGCAACGACGTAGCAGACCAGGACCCTCTCCGTCGTAACTTTGACTCTGTTTCTTTTCTCTTTGGAATACTTTCTTCACGCACTTGATGCCCATATTCTTTCCAATCGACAAATTCACGTTTATACTCTGACGTCATTGGACTCGATAGTTCTTCGGCTGCCTCGGCTGTTTTCAGTTGATCGCGTAACGAATACATTGAATATGATCGTGATTTTTTGGAGAGTCTGTTTGCTTCCAGTGCTAATATTTTTTTTGTTTGATCATCGAGACTTGATGCTAGAATCGATTCTTTCTGCTATGAATAATATAAATTTTGACTACTTAGCAACATTATTTATTCTTTATCGAAAAAAACTACAAGTGTATATTACCTCTGTACGCAGTGTTCCTTTCCATGAATTATTGTGATCACATGTATTAGTAGTAATTCCAGCAGTTTTCCGCATGAATCTCTCAGCTGCAACACTAAAGTCTTCAGGTTCTGCCATAAATTTGCCATTATATTTTGATTCCGCGGGTTTATTATTCGGCGTAATAGTAGAAGAATTACTTGAATTGCTATTAATAATAATACTACTATTAGTATTTGATGTACTTGTTATTAGCTCATCAATCAATTTTGGAGGTTCGGGCGTTTTTGCGGGAGTTTCTGATCTTATGTTTAATGCAGACGATGGCGGTCGTGATAAATTATTATCTACTGGTGGAGTTGGAGTGGGTGCATTACTATTATTAATATTATTGACAGATGATGATAATGACGGATTCCCTTTCCACGTAAATTCACGCTGATATTCAGATTTTGTTCGTTCCTTCGGTCGAGCAACAGCAATCATCGGTAACTTCCATTGATACGAATTCTGGTATTCGCTATTGTGTATCTGCGAACCGTTGTTGTCTGGTGAGAAATTACTGTTACTTGGTGGACCAATTGCGGTTGGAATTCCTGCCGGTGCGGTATTTGAGATTTCTGGTGTCGTTGTCATTTTTATAGTCCGATTTGTTTTTTTGGAGTGGTATCCTATATAAAAGAATTTCTTCGGTTAGTTGATCAATCAATCAGTAAACTCGATATTTAGAGAAAATGATCGACTATTATTATTTTTTATTTTGTCAGCGCAATTAAAAATATATTAATTATTATGCACATCGAAAAAAACGTTTTTTATTTGGACATACCGTTTCTCCTGTGTGCAAAGATAAATCCCGTTCTTTTTCAACAACTGCCTGATTTATGTATGTATACCGAGAAAAGAGTCACTGAGCTTCCTTGGTCCGGGCGCTGAACGAACGCTAGCAGTCAACAACAAAGGTTGTAATTGTTGTTGCTGACACACATACACCCTTCAAAACGATACCAAGAAGCTCACAAATGGAGAAAAAAGAATAATATACAATTTTCAACGATCGATAAAATGTGCAAGTTTTAGATAGATGTGTGGTAAATGATAAATAATAATGGGTAAGTTATGATAATCTGACTTTACAAATTCTGGGACTTGGTTAATATATAATAACGACTCAAAAACTAAAAAGCGAAGAAAAAAAATGGTTTGATTTTGTTTTAATTGACAGAAACTCTGACACTAAAACACATTCAAGCGTTACTTTTCTCTTTTTTTTCGATTTTGTTAAATATTTAAAGGATAAGAAGAAAGAAAATACGGAGTATAAACTTTACAATGTAAAAATATCGATATCGTCGTATGCTTAAACAACTGAAAACAAACTGTAAAATAAGTAATGTATATGAAATTGTACCAGTTCTAGTACTGAACTGGGACTAGTGATAGGACAGCAGTGAGTACTAATTGATTTGTTGTTATCAGAAATTAGGCAATATATTAAATTAATATGTTTGATATATTTTACTGTATACAAATATACATATGTGTGTTATATATATAATATTTATATGTGTGTGTATATATGTGTTGTGTGTATGTATGTAATTTGACGAATGAAAAATATTTTTCAGACTTTAAACGCGGGAAAGAAGTTATCGCTTAAGAAGAGATAATGATCAAAGAAGATGAAATTTTCATGGAAATCGAGGAAAAAAGCTCAATCACTTTGTTATATTACCATTACTAGATACTATTATATATGTATATATATATATATATACGAAAGTTAGTTTTTTTGTGGATGCTAATCTCTGCATGTGTATGTGTATGTGTGAGTCTCTTTACAGAAATACTATTAAAGGGGTTGTTGATGATGTCGACAATCTACTAGCAATAAAAGTATAAAGTCATGCATGAGGAGAATGAAGGAAAAGGCTGCTCACTTGAGAGAAACGTTACAACACGAAGAAACCGGTTTTTTAAAGAGTAGACTAACACCATTATATCATCAGAATAATAAGCAGTATATATTGTCATTTAATAATATACACCTTAAATGAAATAATGGGGAAATGATGCCACTACTGATTTCTAATTATAATGCATGTACACACAAATCGATTCAACAATCACAAAAAATAAAATGTTCTCGTTCGTTGGCATACATACATACGTACTATGTTCAAAATTCAAACTTCAGAATGAATAAAGTTAGTGATCAAGCAAATGAAATCTTACTCGTGATCGTACAAAGTCAATCGGTCAATATAATTTTATCAATCAACATATTGTCCTTGCTAACGTATGTTATTGTGATCAGATCACACAATTATTAATTTTTTCGATCATCACAGAGAATTTATTACAAGAATTATAAACTTGTGCTTGGGGTGCTGTTAACACGATATATGTATTTACATGTTTACATTGAATTAATGGATGATTAATGTCTTATTTAATATAATGATAAGCAACACAAAAACATTTATTGTAGTCTATTGTTCTCGTAATATTGTGGTTAAATGAAGCTCCTAGAATTTATATTTATGTTTGCATAACTTCTACCTAAACAGATATGTAACTGAAATGTCAGATAAATTTATATTAGGTATTACTATGATTTCCTATTCGAGTAAATTGCAGGAGAAGAGCAACGGCAAGGGCGGCGAATGCAGTGGCGTAGAAGTAAATTTAAAGTAATGAATTCGTTAAGGAAGTTGTACCTATCCACCTACTGTTTGATGACTTCTCTTTATTTATTTAATTGACAGCTTGGCCGGTTTTTTTTCATTGTATATAAATTGCAGAGTAATACTCCGAACTATGAGGAACGTTTCAGAAAACTGAAGAGAGTGAAAAAAGACAAGAATTGTGTATGTACACATTTGTGATACAGGAAGAAAAAACCTCATTTTTATGTATGCATAACCACCACACACACTACTCCGCCTATTACACCATGAAAATTAGCCTTTGCTTTCATGAATAACCGCCTTCTGCAGCAAAAACAACAACGACGATGATAACAACAACAACAACATCATCATCACCATCATCATCATCGATATCATGAATAAATGAGTTTCTTGTGTGCTAAAAAAGACAATGTTTATCCGCATCGTTATGATTAAATAAAGAGAAAGAGACGTTGTTCTTTAAGCTTTATTTTTCTTTGATTACCATATAGAATTATTGAGAAGATATCAAGAACAATGAACCATATAAAGAGTTATGGAGTAGTAAGTAGTTAAAAGATATCAAGAATAATGACAAATTATTGTTACACTCTTGTTATACCTTTACAATTCGTATATCAATTCAGTTGCCATGAATGAATGCGCCAAATCGAAGATAACAGATAAACTTCTCGCACACTCATCTAAAATAAGCAAATTTGCCCTGCATAAATAAAATAGAATATCTCAGTTGTAAGTGATTGAATCTGGAAACAAATAATGAAGAATATTACTATCACTATTCGCCATTACGCATTTATTGCTCTTATCTTCATTTTTTTATAATATAAAATAATCATTTAACGTAAAAAGCGTACTAATTGCCCTTTGCCATAACTGGTAGAATGGTAATACTTTTACTATCTATCACTCACCTACATAATTATTTTATGATCAATGTTAGCGTTGTAAGAAAAACACGCATGCAAGTACATACAATCACAATGTAATCTATCATCATTTATCACTGGGAGTATATGTAATGTATATGCCATAGATAACAAAAAATTATGCGCACGATAATGAAGATGATGATTTTATATTTATTTCCTCCGTTTTCTTAGGATTCTGTTGCTTTATTTATCTAAACATGTATATTTTATTCTAATTGAATTTTTATTCTAATTGAATATTGGCTAAACTCGATCAATTCGAACAATTCAATCGTACTTTTAGTAATATCGATATCATATTATATCGATTACAGAATCTTTTGTTTGCATCAATGCTTTATCTCTTATATCACGTGAACGTGCCTTAATTTTAAGGTACAATCAAATATTTGAGGCAAAATTATTAAGTCATACGATTTGTCACATGTAAAAATTGAACATATGATGTCGATCAATTAAAAAAGCTATGTAATCGCATTTTCGAATTTTTCGTCTAAAGTCTCGGCCAAAGCGAACAAAACGATATATAGAACGTGGAAAAATAACATCTCCTTATAGAATACAACACCTTCGAAATCGGCATTCATTTTGTCTAGTTTTGCTTATTCTCCGGTTCGCAAATTCTTGCCATGAAAAGTGGTTCACCAGTTGTGCCTGAACGAGAGCTTTCGACGAAATTTTACCTCGAGGGTGGTATATGATAAACAGGTCAAAGAAAATCAAGGAAAGCTGGTTTTTACTATGTAAATCACTCCATTTACTCATTAATTTTATTGGATAATCTAAAAATTTATCCCCTGATTTGGGTGACAAATCGTGTGACTGTTAATTAAAACGTTTATACGTATATTTTAATAAAAAATTAGTTCAAAATTTCAATATTATTTTAGATACTATGCTTAAGAAATTATCATTGATCCCAACAAGAAATATATAATAAAGGAGAGCTTATTTTCTTAAACTCTACCCAGCAGCAATAACTCATTGTATTATACATCGTTCTCCATTTGCGCCAGTGTAGTTATTATTATCGTTGTTATGGATATTTCCGCTCGCCGTATTATTGTTGTTGTTTGTGTTTAGTGAACCTGGTGGCGGTGGAGGTGGAAAACTGAATGTCATACTACGATTTCCACCTAGGAAAGCTGAAGAAGGGTGACAAATATTCGACCTTGTTGACTGAGATGCAGTACCAAAGTTATCAGGATTATACGGGAGTCCGCTAGAAGTTCTAGGAGGTGGTAATTGTGGTTGATGTGGGGGATTGTTGAACAAATTATTCGACTGTAATTGGAACAGCACAGTCCTATTGGTGGTAGCAGATGTGGTGGAAGAACTACTGGCGTTATTACTATTATTATTATTATTACTGCTGCTACTTGCTTGATTTGTTGGTGCCGGCATTGGTGGATAACTCAGCTGGGGTCTATCTGAATTATTTCTTAAACTTGACGATGTTGCCGAATTAGTATTCTGCATGGTCGGAATATTGGAGGGCAGAGCAGTATGATCAACGGTACTAAAAGATGTGATCGGAAAACCCAATCGGTTGTTATTTGAGAGGTTCATATTTGGATTTGGCGAATAGAAAAGGAATGGTGATTGAAGATTCATGACATTATTTGTTGTACTGGTTGTTGATGTGTTGTTAATAACAGGTGTAGTTCGGGAGTTCAATGAAAATGCGCTGTTATTATTGTTAACAGGGATTGTTGATGTGTTGTTAATAACGGGTTTAATTCGTGAATTCAATGAAAATGCGTTGTTATTATTGTTAACAGGGGTTGTTGATGTGTTGTTAATAACAGGTTTAACCCGTGAGTTCAATGAAAATGCGCTGTTATTATTGTTAACAGGGATTTCTGTATGTAGTTGCCCAGTTTGACCTTGGGGTTGTAATGTCGTTTGACCATTAAATGTTGCTTCAAATTGAGCCCAAAATCGAGCATCAGCAACCCGTTTTTTCGCTTTCTTGGAAATTTCGCCCTTGGAAAATTCTCCCTTGGACTTCTTTTTTACTTTTTTGGGCGGCTTTGGAGGAAAAACTTTGTTGATGTCGTTGTAATCACTCGTATCCGGATTAACAGTTGTGCTACTGTTACCCGAGTCATCATGAATTGCAGGAGTATTTTTCGTTTGTGGTAATACAAAATCGAATAATGATTTTTTCTTTTTTCTTGAGGGAGTAAGTGGAGATGGTGGATGTTTGTATTTCATATATATTTTCATTCGAGCAACTTGAGCAGCTTTTCTTTGCTTCCTCATTTTACCCATAACTTGAGAGCTGCCACTTGGTCCGAAATTGAATGTGTCTGGATCGTATGATGGATCAGCTATTAGATCATCTTCGTGTTTATTTAATTCAGAGAGTGTATTCTGTAGCAATTCATCGACATCTCCCATTGATATGTTTGAATATAGGGGAAGCGTAAAATTATCTGGAAATGACGGAGATGACGATCGTGATGAAGATGACGTTGAAGACTGAGCTCCTCTTCTTGTTTTCTTTGGAGAATCAGAATCATCCTCTTCGTCATCGTGTATTTCAATAACTTCTTGGGCGTTGATTTTTGATTTTTCCTCCATTTTTTGAGCTTGCTCATTTTTGACATATTGGAATAACGATTTTTTAGATGATTCAGCGAAATCTTCATTCGATTCTTTCTTCTTTCCCTTGTTTCTACTTCGACCTCGCTTTTTGGAGGCCATCTGTCTAATTGATTCTCCAGTATAAATGTAATTGTCATATTGTTGCATTAAAGCAGGTTTACTGGAGCCTGGTTCATTTTTAATTTCAGCAGCTTGTTCATTCTTTTCCAGGTTCGTGGGTACAGAAACTACTTCATTATCCACGATTTCTACGACATCTTTAGAGGGAGTAATGTTACTCGAGAAAACATTAGCTTCCTTCTCTTTTCCTTTTGGCAATTTAGTTCTACGTGATTCCTGAGAAGTAAATAGATGAATAGGCTGTTGAATTGGATTTTGATCGACACTCATATTTTCTGACGAATCATCTACTACTTCGCGCTCTTTTCCTTTTATTTTACGTGATTCCATCGGAGCAAACAGATGAGTAGATTGCTGCTGGATTTGATTTTGTTCAATGTTTAAATTTTTCGGAATTGAAGGTGAAACTCCCATACTTTCCAAAAGTCTAGTCACAATTTGAAACGAATTAGGATCGATTTCCGTAATTTCATCAAGCCCTTTTCCAAATAACTTCGATGTTTTTGCTAAAATTCGAGCAGCTTCGTTTTCAGGTAACTCGAATTCATTGACTATCTGTGTTGCAATGTTCCCTAAATTTTTTTCAAATGATACGATTTCAGAAGAGTTATTATTTAATGTCTTTGATATTTCCATCGGTTTATTTGATGAAACTTCGGCCTCCTTTTTGGTTCTTTCAATGAGTAATGCTATATCAATCGCGTGCATCCGTACCAATGTTGGAGTAGGATTACAACAACTAAGCACACCAGATGCGTCGATGGGCATTTGCTGCGCAAGCTCAAACAGCATATTATTTGGCAGTACATAGCGAACACTTTCATCCTCTTCGCGTGCTCTAGTATCCCGCCATGCATGAAGAGCTTTAAAGACAGCTACTTGTTGATTATCGAAAGGCCGATGACATTTGCTGAGATCATTCTTCCATCCGCCGTTGCCTTTCCCAGTCTCTGGATCAGGTCTTTCTTTCTCATATTTCAACAAGGACACCTCACGAGAGCGATCTAGTGTCACTTGCAAAAGGTTAGGCGATTTTTGTAATAATTCATTCCGCATACAATCGTATATATAAAGCAAATAGTGAGTGTCGGCACGAGCATAGTTGAGCATTTCTGTTGGGAGTGGTCGCATTCGCCAATCTGCCAATTGAAATCGTTTGTCGATTTCTATACCGCAATATTTTTTCACTAGGAAAGCATAAGAGTGTTGAGGAAGAGCCAAGACATTTGAAGCATGGAAAGTGTCGAAGAGATTGACTACATAAATCCCGAAATCCTTTTGTAGCCATTGGACATCAGAACTAGCACCGTGGAATACTTTTACTATATTTGGGTTAGTAAAAGAACTATTAAGAGCATGCATTGCATGTCTGAGAGTAAAAGCATCAAGTATATAATCTTGGTCACGAGTGCTTATCTGAATTAGACAAGTGAATCCTTGAAAAGATCGATAGTCGTGATGTTCAAGATCAACCGCAATCCCTTGCACAGTGTCCAGTTTCGCACAGAGAGCAGTCAACTCTTCCTCTTTACTGATGAAGATATGAGTGGTGGTATCTATTGGCCCAAACATATATTGTCCATTACCATCACTATTGGGAACTTGGAACATGTGCGCCGGATACTCTAAATGATTGATTTCATATTTATAAGGATGTGGAAATCCAAACGAATCATCAATAATATCAATTGTCATGCTATCTCCATCAGCAGGATTAGTCTGTAATGGCATGGTGGCATTTGGCTTTTCTTTAATTTTCGGCACAAAAGGTGCCCGTGAATTGTCAATTGTATCAAGAAACCTCAGTTGCGGCCTCAAGATATTTTTCGCATACAAAATGCGAGTGTCCGCATTTGTGCTCAACTGGGCAACGACCGGTGTACTCGCCGTTATTGGCACAGCAATTTCTTTCGCACGACCAGTATACTCATCCAAACAAACGTCGGCTTTTTCAAGTGCAGAGTCAATAACCTCGACAATGTCGCTGAATTTATTTTCAATGTCCTCTGCATTACCAAGAAGCGGACCACCAGTAGTCACTGTTGCTGGTAGTAAGCCCGAATTCGCGACTAGCCGATTAATAAGCGACAAGATCTTATTACCGGTTGTGTCTAGGGTTTTAGCAGCTGACCGGTCAACGCTTCGCAAGAAGTTTATTTCAGAGGCATCAATTCTTAAAGAATTTTCAGAAACGTGGAGTAGGTCTCTGAATGCTTCTGCTTGGTATCTTGGAAAGGACTTGAAAATGTCGAACGGTGGTGGTGCTGCACTTTCATTATCATCAACGTCCATTGTGGGAAATTTTGGAAGGTAAATGCGTTAAAGTCCTTGAGAAAGGACAATCACAAACAATAGTGATATATAGTTGGATCTAATTACATCCAAAATTGGTATTGCACGTGACTCTTGCCTTCAATTCTTGAGAAAGAAATTTCCTCTTAGAATAATATAGAGTTAGGTTTAGGTTTAGATTTAAGGTTATTGTATATATAGCAAAAGAGAGTAAAGTAGTGATTGGACTCACACTCGAGTCAAACTTTACTCGATTCATAATTTTTCTGACTCGAGTCTGCGATATTTTGACTCGAATGATCACTCTGACTCGAGTCAAGTTTGACTCGAGTTGTACAGTGGTTCACACATGTAATGGAACACAAATATTAAAATAACTATGTTATAGAATATTTGGGCTGTAACATCGCCTAGAGGTTGGAACCGGTTCCAATCATCGGATTGTATAACCGAATTTAACCGGTTCAGATTTATAACCGGTTCAAGATTTTTCTAAACGATAACTGGATATATTTATAACCGGTTAATCGATTTTATTGTAACTGGTTATATTCGGTTAATCAATTTTATTACAACTGATTCTAGTTGTTAATAATAATCTATTACAATGTCATCTCCTCGTATTACGCTTTATTCAGATATTGAGGATTCTAATATCACACGGTCAACTGCAAATCGAAAAAAATGAAAAACCAATGTTGCAATTAACTGTAGTAATAAAAGTCATATGGCTTTTTTTTCGTATAGATAAAGATAACTCTAATATTACATACTGTAAAATATGTGAGCTTAATTTTATTGGAACTCATCAAAACTCTTATCCATACAGTCGTAAAGGTGACAATACATCAAATATGATAACTCATTTACGTGACAAACATAATATTAACAAGGATAATTATACAAATATTTGGATAAACGTAATGAGATACAATTTTATTGAATCTAATAAATTATAAAACAGATGAATAATTAAATTTTTACTTGTTAGCCAAAACATGATCAAATCCAAGTTACCAATTATTTCAACAATACCACACTGTCATGTTCATTCCAAAGACAACAACTAATAGCAAGAAAATTAATTCAATTTATTATTAATTTTGTTTTACCTCTTTATACTTTACAAAATTAATCTTTTCACAAGTTTATTTATACCTGTGAGTCTGGATTCCAAATTTTGTGTGATAAAATTACTAACAGTCACAGGACATGTCCCCGTGGTTGATTTTTGATAATAAATTTTTTCATGTAACATGCTATGCTGTAACTTCCGCGTGAACATACTTCAATTGGTATAT